ATAGTATATTATATTTAGTATAGACCATGTTAATTACTATTTAAGTCACCTACTAACACCATATACTTGGTATTATTTAAATAAACAGAACTACATGGAAAGTATCATGTTAAGCGAAATGAGTCAGAAAGAGCGAGATAGACACAGAAAGATTGCATTCATCTGGGGAACATAAAGCAACAAAATGGGAGACTAACACCCAGGAGTGGCCGAGATTAGTACCAGGAATTTTGCTCCATGACTTGGAGGCCAGCCACACATGCTAGGGAAAAAGGAAGCTCAGGTAGAGAAGAGAGCACCAAATAAAGGGTGTTGTGAGGATCCTCCCAGGGTGGGAGAAGCATGTTGAAAGTAGACTATAGACCAAACATGATTGCCACTCAATGCCTCTCTTGCAAAACACTGTACCCAAAAGAAGAGAGAGAAAACAAGGGGGAATGCCCTGACACAGAGGCAGGGTGGGATGGGGAGTTTGGGGGGTGGGAGGGATGCTGGGACCTGTGGTGGTGGAGGATGGACACTGGTGGAGGGATGGGTACTCGATCATTGTATAACTGAAACCCAAGCACAAAAATTTATAAGTCTATAACTGTACCTCATGGTGTTTCACTAATAAAATTTTTTTTAAAAATTAAAAAAAAGAATTGTAAGGAAAGAAGAGGGATATTTTTATTATTTTTATAGGAAATAAAGTAAATGACCCAAGCAAAGCTGGTAGAGCTAAAAGCAAAACTAAGACATGCCGACTTGCCAGTGTGTTCTTGGCACACATTTCTTCCTCACTGTCTAGATCCCATCTCTAAGTTCAGCTTGTGTCACACGGACCACGAGTTTCCTTTCATCTGAGTTGTTTTCAGAGAGAACAATGAATAGGAGGCCTTAATGTTCTTGCAGCCAGCACATGATTTGCCTTGAAGAGATGCTCTGAAGACAATTACTAAATTTAACTTAAACTCCGAGTCTATAGCTTAGCTGCAATTGGATTCAGGGAAAGGTGGCTACTTTGAGTTTGTGTTTTTCACTTAGAGAAAAGAATTGGGAAAGTATCTATATCAGAGTTTTCTTGTGATAGTTGGATAAATAATAAAGGCAAAGCACAAGGAAGAGGGCCTGTACTAAGTAAACTTTATATGTATTATGATGATGACAATGAGGTTTCTTACTAAATACATAAATTCTCTAGTTCAGAGTGAATGAGAATTCATCTCAATGCTCAGAAACTAATTTACCTTAGAAAATTTATGTCTGTCTGATAGTGTACAATATCTTGCTTTTAGTCTTAAACTAAAAGACAAAAGTAGATGTGGAGTACAGCACTGAACCAAGAGACAGGTAAACTTAGTCCGAATATAACTACTCGTTTTGAACTACTGGTGACCTTAAACCAGCTCAATAACGGCATCAGGCTTAACTTTTCTTTCGTCTCTGTATTTAAACACTGTGCTCTAAAAAGTTGTTTATAATACATTTGTTGCAGGAATTCAATATTCCAACACTAATACCATCACCACTGTAACTTTCCCTTTACCATTTTCCTGTTTTCCTAACCATCCTCAAAGTTTGCCCCCTTAGCAGGCACAAAATAATTTGGTTTATAGTTTTCACTACAACTAAATGGCTAATGAAATTATCAAAAATTACTTTGGTAAAAGAAAATCTGTGAAAATTTTTATATCTCACAATGGGGTTAATTTAGTTCTGTCTGAGGGTTTATTAAGCTAAATGTTGCTAGTTGAGCATTTTGTGTTAATGTTTTTGCTTACAGAGCTTAGATGGCTTTCATGTTCTTTTCCCATCTAATTTGGTGAGCTCCTACTAGAATGTTAGAATTGTAGAATTTGTAGTTGTCACTCCAGAAACTTCAGGATATGTAACTGGGCCATGAGTTTACATGGCAGCAGTTCTGGAATGTGGGTGTGGCTACTGTAGGAAAGTATGGGGGGGTTGAGGGAGGCGGTCTGATCCTACTCTGAGGAGACCCCAGAGTTCTTAGCCTGAAGATGGATGTACCTACAGTTTTCTACATTTTGGCATCTCCACAGAACTTAATCATGAGGCAGTGGCATCCGGTCATTGGCATGACAGCAGCTGTCTGGGTATGAGTGTGATTGCTGGGGCCTCAGCAGACAGTGACTTGACCTGTCTCGTCCAGGGTACCCCAGAGTTTTCAGCCCAGAGACCGATGTACCCACAAACTCCTGCGGCTTGCTTGATATCTCTTGAGATTTCATTGTGAGTCTGTAAAGCTGGGCTGATGGATGAGCTTACATTTTGGCGGTTTTGGGATATGGGTGTGGCTTCCAGGGTTTCTGGAGCTACTGGAGTGGGGAAGGAGGAGGTCTGGGAGGCTGAGCTTCTTGAGAAAGCCAAGCTGTGCAATCTACACAATGCCCAAACCTACATCCAAAGCTCGTTCCACTACTGACTTAATTCAGGGTCAGTGTCCTCCCATTGTTCATCGATTTTCTTGAGCGGGCCCAGTAACGTCTCCATCATGAGACTTTGTTGTTACTGTGTTTGGCATATCGAATAAGCCATGGGTAGCTTGCCAGGCTTTGCCGTGTGGGCGAGATACTCTCGGTAGCTTGCCGGGCTTTCTGAGAGGGGCGGAGGAATCGAACTCGGGTCGGCAATGTTGGCTGCATGCAAGACAAATGCCCTACCGCTGTGCTATCACTCCAGCCCAATTCAAGGTATATTCACTTTTTAAAAAAAATTAGTCAAGGGGCTGGAGCAATAGCACAGCGGGTAGGGCATTTGCCTTGCACGCGGCCGACCTGGGTTCGATTCCCAGCATCTCATATGGTTCCCCGAGCACCACCAGGTGTAATTCCTGAGTGCAGAGCCAAAAGTAACCCCTGAGTATCTCTGGGTGTGATCCCAAAGCCAAAAAAAAATTAGTCAAGTTCTAATTTAATTTTTCTATTTGATTAAAGACTGCTACAAGTGTTTAGATATTAATATATATTTAATATAGAATGGACAAGTGCCGTAGTTTTAATTTAAAATGTTTATGTTTTTATTTTATAAACCATGGGGTTTTATAAATCTGGTTCATGCTTTCACAAGTTCTAAAATTTCAAGTGGGCTACTTAATCTTATCAAAATAATTTTTTCTGTAGGTTTAGTCTGAAAATATAAAAAAGTTCCATATCCTTTATTTTAATAAAAAATAATTTGGATGAATAACTCTGACCTTGCTATTATGGATTCAGAGTCTATATTGCTTTCCCAGCACTAATAGTTTAATCATAAATACTAGATTCTTTTGAATTCACTGAAGTTATGTACATACAAATAATCACCTGCATTTCTCTAACAATTATTAATTTTGTATTAACAGTATGCTATGTAGTATATTACTCGATGTTAATTTTTTCAATCATTAATTAGATTTCTACTCATTGATATAGCTTCTTTGTCCCTTTTTAAAATTTATTTTTATTGAATATCCATGAGACAGACCATTACAAAGCTGTTTATGATTGGATTTCAGTCACATAATGATCCAACACCCTCCATGAGTGCACACCTCCCACCACCAATGTCCCCCATCTCCTTCCCACCGTCCTCCAACACCCCCAGCCTGCCTCTATAGCAGGCATCTCTCGCCCCAACCCGTCTCTCCCTCTTTCTCCTTTTGTGCGTTACAGTTTGCAATACAGGTACTAAGAGGTCATAGTGTCTATTCAGGGAATACAGTTATTTTTATCAGGAAGGTAAGGCTGGAGTAGCTTTTATAACTAGGTGGCATCTTTGGGGTGTGGATATGACTTCTGAGGCTTCTGGAAGTACAGGGAAGTGGGGGAGGGCAGTCCATCCAAACCTGAGAAAACCTGGAGATTTCAGTCGCAAAACCTGGATACCAGAATTTTCAGCAGATTATAACTCGGTAAAGTTTGTTCAGAGATGGTGGTATCCGGCTTGGGGAATGATGGAGATTTTGGTATGTGGAAGCTAGCAGCAACTGGGGGCTCTGCTTGGGTGGGCACCAAGCTGATTCACCCCCGCCCCACCCTCTCTTTGATTTAACCCTATCTGTTCAACCTTGTGCAGGTCTGAGATTAACTTAGATTTTTTTTTTTATCTCTTTTGAGATTTATTTTATGGGTCTTTGAAGCAGGATCCATAGAAGAGCTTATATGGTGGTGCTGGAATTGGTTCATGGAGATGACTGCTGGTTCTTCCAGAAATGTTGGGAAATGGGGGGAGGTAGCCTATTCCAACTCCAAGAATGCCTGGAGATTTCAGTCATAATCTACATATCTAAATTTTCAATAGTATCTCAGTGTACATTACATTACTAGATGTTACTTTTATCAACACATTAATTGGATTTCTACTCTATTGATATGACTTTTTTGGCCTTGTTTCTCTTCTTCCTTTGGAATATATTTTTGAGGGGGGAAGATTTTGGCAAATACCTGAGTATGCTTAGGAATTATTCTTTGTTCTATGATCAGAGGTCACTCCTGGCATTGCTTGGGAAACCATATATGATGCAGGAATCTACCAGGGTAGTCTGCATGCAAGACAAGCTTCTCAACTCTTAACTGTCTCTCTGGCTCTCTTTCTTGGGTCTCTAAACTTGAGTTGCAATAGGCTGTCAGTTTTCACCTAGTGCTAAGGGGATTTGTAATGAAGCATTCCAAGATACTTTTTAGCAAGGTGCAAAGTTTTAGGCTGTGATGACAGAGGGACTGACTGTCCTGAGGATATTCAAGGAGAGTTCCCAGAAGTGGTTTCCTATTACAGTTTCACAAGGGGCTACTGAAAACCACTGGGCTATTGACAATGACAAAGTCTGATATTCTTAATTTAAAGGGGAAAGTCTCTTGACAATATTAGAAAAATATCCTGAGCTAAATCTTCAAAAAGTGCTCTTTCAGGTCTGTGTTTATTTCCTCACTGAGCTCAAGAATACTAAGGGTTTAGGGTGATGTCTCCCAAATATGCCTGGCACATAACTTTCTCTGGTGTATATTTTTGCCTGTTTGTAGGGACAGGGAGATCTGTTGAAGAATGCCAAGAATGAAGCCATAGAAAACATAAAGCAGATCCAGCTGGCATGCTTGTCCTGTGGACTGAGTAAAGCCCCCAGCGGTGCTGAGGCCAAGAGCAAACGCAGCCTTGAAGCCATTGAAGAGAAGGAAAGCAGCGAGGAGAATGGAAAGCTGTGACAGTGCCCTTCTTGATAAGGACTCTGAGTTTTCTTTCTGATTTTCTTTCTTTAAGCATTTTTAGAAGTTCACAAAATGATGCCCTCCCTCTACAGGGTGCTGGACATAAACAGATATTTTCACAATGTCAGTATTTTAAAGCAGTTAATTTATCTAAATTAAAATATTTAGTAGTAGTGTTTTAAATTCTGAGATGTGTGTAAACAACTAAATAAGGTTATGGATAAAGTTGTGTGCGCGTGTGTGTGCTTGTGAAAGAAAGAGCAGCAGAGAGAAAATAAATTGAGGGACATAGTGTGTGTGTGTGTGTGTGTGTGTGTGTGTGTGTGTATGTATGTGTGTTGTTAAAATCTACTCTGTGTTGCATTATTCACCTGGTAAGTTATTATTTTATCATTTGGGAATAAATTAGTTAAGTTGAAAGTCTAAGGAGCACTTAATGTAACCTTTGCTGTGTTTAATTTTACTTCTCCACCTTTGTCATTTTAGAGATGTTAACATAGCTTATTATTAAAGGAGCCAAATTTACCAGTATATAAATGTTTTGATAGACTAAATATAGATTATAAAAATTCCTAAGAAATATAGAAATTAAAGCAAATGAGAGATAAATACATGATCAGGATTTCTTGGAAGACCAATAAAGACTTTTCTTTAAGAATTTAGTGAATTATTTAAAATATTTATTAAATAAAATAACTTTAGAAAGTATTTTGTAGTTTACTGAGCAGATATGAATTCAGTGGAACAGCTGATCAAAAATGAGTTTATTCTCACCTATGTGGTACTTGAAACACAGCAAAAGCTCTATTGTAGTTAAATTTTTTTATTTTACAATAATATTTGATTCTTAAATTTCAAAGTTAAGATGTGTAGGATGTTCTGATTCTTCCAACTGGAAGTCTAACATCCATTTATCTTCTACAACAGACATGTGCAGCTTGGAGTTTTTTTGGAATTTAATTAAGAGCACGAAAAATTTAAAGATGTACAAACAATGCCATATCAATGTACTGATAAAATTATATGGGTGATATAAAATCTTCATGATTTAAGATATTAATGATAAACTTAACAAATGCAGGAAAACATACACACAAAATCAAATGCTAATTAGATACATGTTACTACATCTATATCATTTTTGCCCTAGTATTTCATAAAGTATTTGAGTATAATATGTTTGTTTCCTTCAGCAGAGTCAAATGTTCTATGGTTATAAAATATATTTATTTAAAACATTGCTTTTATTTTGAAAAGCTTCTAATTGATTTGGTTAACAAATGTGCTAATTTGTGGGAACCTACAGAAGGTAATTGTTAAAATTTTGCAAATACATACATCTTCTATAGCTACCATGTTATTTCTGACTTCTTAACACTATTGTGTTCATATTGCACATAAATGAGAGTAAAGATATGAAACAATGCTTTCATTATTTTCTTTAATTGTAAATTAATTGAAAAGAAATGACAATAAAAGGTATTATATGAGAATATGTTAAAAGGTATGACAATTACTTTTTGAATTTAAGACTGGTACCACACTTGGGGAGGTAAGTGAGCTTATTTTAAGGTGGATTTCCAGTGGTATGACCCTTTGTAACTATTCGTTTGCATGGTGGAAGGAACAGCAGAATACAGATCTTTCAGTTCCTTATGATGACAAAGGGAAAGGTCATCTTACCTATACCTATTGTTTGACCTCACCTGAGGGTTGTTTCGTCTCCCTAAATTCTTCTTAGAAAAATCTATACCTTTAGTGCTGATAAAAAGAAATGGGAAGAGAAGCACTGTAGCACTGTAGCACTGTCCTCCCATTGTTCATCGATTTGCTCAAGTGGGCCCAGTAACGTCTCCATTGTGAGACTTGTTACTTTGTTTGGCATATTGAATATGTCATGGGGAGCCTGCCAGGCTCTGCCGTGCAGGTGAGATACTCTCGGTAGCTTGCCGGGCTCTCTGAGAGTGGCGGAGGAATTGAACCCGGGTTGGCCTGGCCAGCCACACTCAAGGCAAATGCCTTACTGCTGTGCTATCGCTCCAATAATATTTATTCCATTACTTACTTGAGATTCAAACCCACTCTTATAAAATGACTGCCATAATTTATTTTATCCTTCCTGGAGCTCCTCATATTGAAGACCTACCTCAACATAGGTTTCCTCTACTTTTTAGAAGTTTGTCTTGTGGCACTTTGATTACTAACTACTTTAGTAACAGTTTTTGTGAACCAAAAGAATTGCGAAGAATTTAGGTTATATGGCAAAAAGGTGAAAGTGAAACTAATGTTCAGTGCTTGTTTCTCAGGAGGCAGAGTGGAGGCAGAACCCCTGGAGAAGCCAGGATAGTGGCACAGCCTTGCTCCTTCCCCAGGCATTACACTTTACAGGCTGTGTAGTCATCATATAATTTTCATTTTTGCAACATGTCCATGTTATTTTAGGTTTCATGTGTTATTTGATGAGGTCTTTTACATGGGGGGTCAGGAATATTCAATTATTTCACCATATTAATGAATGGTAATTACTTCTTCACTTTACACTATTTGACTTCTTTCAGATAATGGGACGAGTAAGTCTTTTTCAAATGTAATATGAATTTCTCATCATCTAGTGAAATGTCAGGCTATAGGTATCAACCATTTTCTGCTCCTTTCCACAGGGTACTGTTGCCAGAGAGCACTTGGGGTATTCTGAGTGGAGCGGTTGCAGGGGAAAGCTCCCTATAATGGTCTTAGCCTTCAAATGGGTTGGAGCAATAGCACAGCAAGTAGGGCGTTTGCCTTGCAAACAACCAACATGACCGACCTGAGTTCAATTCTTCCGCCCCTCTCGAAGAGCCCAGCATGCTACCAAGATACAGTAGCAATTGCCCTGTTCTGCCTAATTTTTGTGATGCTCAGAAGGCAATAGGGGGATATAAAGTTCTGTTTTGGTTTGCTAATTTTCACATTGCCAAGGAAATTTTAGATGGAGTTTATTGATAAAATGTCATTGACATTTTATAGACAAAAAAATATAAAATCATTGAGGGTACGGTGCCGCCAGCAGGTCAATCTGTACCTGTGAGGTGTACATCAGCAGTTTGATGGCGCCTTCAGACATCCAGATACCCCAAAATTGCTGCTGTGCCTTTGGCCAGACCCCCAAAACTTGGGGAAACACCGACAAACCACCTCTGGCTCAGCTATATAGTTGGAGGCATGGCCTCTCTGGTTCCTGATTGAACTGTTTAATGGCCATGATACCAGAGACTCAGAAACAAATCTTGAAACCCAGCGGCTTTTGGCAGAAATGCGTCCAGTCCATGCAGTAGGTTACTGGTGCTGGGCCAACCCAGGTGGGAATAGGTTTCGAGCCTTGGCCTGTTCCCAACGGCAGCCCAATGGCTTCCATCATCCAGAGGCCACTGGAAAGTCAGGTTTGGGCCCCTAGAGATGAGACACGCAGGGCCTTATAGGATGGGGGTGGAGCCAGTCCTCTCCTCCCCACCCCAATGAGACCCCAAGTCATCACCCACGAATGGCCTCTCTGGCTCCTGATCAAGCTGCTTAATGGCCATGATCCCAGAGACTCAGAAACAAATCTCGAAACCCAGTGGATTTTGGCAGAAATGCATCCGGACCCCACAGTACTTTACTGTCACCAGGCTACTCCGGGGAGGAAAGGGTGTTGTCACTCCGCCTACTCCCCCTTGGTGGCTCGGTGGCCATCATCCTCCAGAGGCCATTAGACAGTCAGGTCTGGGCCCGCAATGACAAGACATTCTGGGCCTCACGGGATGGGGGTGGAGCTGGGCCTGTCCTCCCCACCCCAACGAGACCCCAAGTCATCGCCCACAAACGGCCTCTCTGGCTCCTGATCAAACTGCTTAACAGCCTTGATCCCAGAGACTCAGAAACAAATCTCGAAACCCAGTGGCTTTTGGCAGAAATGCGTTCGGACGCCACAGTACTTTATTGTCACCAGGCCACCCCAGGGGGGAAAGGGTGTTGTCCCTCCGCCTGCTCCCCCTTGGCGGCTCAGTGGCTGTCATCCTCCAGAGGCCATTGGACAGTCAGATCTGGGCCCGCAGTGACAAGTCATTCTGGGCTTCATGGGATGGTTGTGGAGCTGGGGCTGTCCTCCCAACCCCAACGAGACCCCAAGTCATCGCCCTCGGACTCTCTGGCTCCTAATCAAGCTGCTCTACGGCCATGATCCCAGAGACTCAGGAACAAATCTCGGAGCCCAGCAGGCTTGGGCAGAAATCCCCCCAGATTTAAGTGTTAAAATTTCGGAATTTCAAAATCACATGGTCCTACTGCAGCCACGCGGTATCATATGTTATTCTTAACCAGCAATAGAAAAACAATTGTCCACTGTTGCCTTTTCAGCAGATCTGAGTGTTAGGGTAAAATCTCAAATAATAATGGTGGGTCTGGTGTTGAAACATCGAATGTGATAAAGTAGAGAGAGAGTAATGTGGAAATCATCTGCCCCACAGGTAGGGGGAGAGTGTGGGATGGGGGTATACTGGGGTTTTGGGGGGTGGAGAATGGGCACTGGTGAAGGTATGGGAGTTTCATTGTATTACCGAGACTTAGACCCAAAAGATTCACGGTGATTCAATAAATAAAATTATAAAAAATGAAAAAAAGATGATCATATGCTTGGGGGGAGATGTCAGTATATTCAACTCTGTTCCATTCGTCTACAGCTCTGCCTTTGTTCCAGTACCATGCTGTTTTAATTATTAATGCTCTGTAGTAGAGCTTTAAGTTAGGGAGGTTGATTCCTCCCACTTTCTTTTTCCCAAGAATTAGCTTTAGCTATTCGTGGGGGCTTATTGTTCCATATAAATTTCAGGACTGTTTGCTCCATTTATTTGAAGAATGTCATGGGTATTCTTATAGGGATCCCATTGAATTTGTACATACTTTGGGAAGTATTGCTATTTTGACAATGTTAATTCTCCCCATCCATGAGCAGGGGATATTTTTCCATTTCCTTGTGTCCTCTTTTATTTTCTGAAGTAGCATTTTGTAGTTTTCTTTGTATGGGTCCTTTACTTCCTTAGTTAAGCTGATTCCCAGGTACTTGATTTTTCTGGGGAACAATTCTGAATGGGATTGTTCTCTTCATGTCACTTTCTTCTCTTTCACTATTTGCATACAGGGAAGCCATGGATTTTTGGGTATTGATTTTATAGCCTGCCACTTTACTATACAAGTCTATTGTTTCTAGGAGTTTCTTGGTAGAGGTTTTAGGATTCTCTAAGTATAGTACAATCATCTACGAATATTGAGAGCTTGATTTCTTCCTTCCCTACCTGGATGCCCTTAATATCTTTTTCTTGCCTAATCGCTATTGCAAGTACTTCCAGTACTATATTGAACAGTAGTGGAGAGAGTGGGCATCCTTGTCTCTTCCCTGATCTTAGTGGGAAGGCTCTTAGTTTTTCCCAATTGAGGATGATGTTTGATGTAGTCTTGTGGTTGATGGCTTTAACTATATTGAGGAAAGTCCCCTCTATTCCCATTCTGGTGAGGGTTTTCATCATAAATGGGTGCTAGATCTTGTCAAATGCTTTCTCTGCATCTATTGATATGATCATATGATTTTTATCTTTTCTTTTATTGATATGATGGATTATGTTGATTGATTTCCGGAGGTTGAACCATCCTTGCATCCCCAGGATGAATCCCACTTGGTCATGGTGTATGATCTTTTTGATGAGTTGTTGAGTTCTATTTGCTAGTATTTTGTTGAGAATCTTCGCATCCGTGATCATCAGGGATATCGGCCTGTAGTTTTCTTTTCTTGTGGTGTCTTTGTTTCCTTTTGGTATTAGAAAGATATGGGCTTCATAGAAACTGTTTGGGAGAGTTTCTGTTTTTTTTTTTTAATTTCCTGGAAAAGGTTGAGAAGAACTGGCAATAGGTCCTCTTTAAGTGTTTGGAAAAATTCGTTAGTGAATCCATGAAAAAATGGGGTGAGGAAATGAACAAAAAATTTTGCAAAGAAGAAATCCGAATGGCTAAAAGGCACATGAGAAATGCTCTACATCACTAATCATCAGGAAGACGCAGATCAAAACAACAATGAGATATCATTTCACACCACAGAGACTGGCCCACATCCAAAAGAACAAAAGCAACTGGTGCTGGTGCAGATGTGGCGAGAAAGGGACCCTCCTTCACTGCTGGTGGGAATGCCGACTGGTCCAACCCTTTTGGAAAACAGTATGGACAATTTTCAAAAAATTAGAAACTGAGCTCCCATTTGACCCAGCAATACCACTCCTGGGAAAATATCCCAGAGAGGCAAAAAAGTGTAGTCAAAGTGACATCTGCATTTGTTTGTTCATTGCAGCACTCTTTACAATAGCCAGAATCTGGAAAAAACCTGAGTGCCCAAGAACAGATGACTGGTTAAAAAAAACTTTGGTACATTTACACAATAGAGTACCATGTAGCTGTTAGAAAAGATGAAGTCATGA